ATCAGCAAGTATATAGTATATTTGAACAACACTATCAACCAACCAGAGCCCTGGTGGCATAGTGGTTAAGAGCTGCAGCTGCTAACCAAAAGCTCAGCAGTTTGAATCCACCAGCCGCTCCTTGGGAACCCTATGAGGCAGTTCTCCTCTGTCCTATAGGGTCGCTATGAGTTGGAATCGACTTGACGGCAGTGGGTTCGGTTTTTTATTGTTTTTTTTTTTTTTTTTTGGTTATCAACCAACCTGACCTAATTCACGTTTATAGAACACTACCCAACAATAGCAGAATATACATTTTTTTCAAGTGCATGCAGAAAATTTACCATGAGACATATTCTGGACCATAAAACAAGGCTTGATAAATTTAAAAGAATTCAAGTAATACAAAGTATTTTCTCGTGTTATAATGGAATTAAATCAGTAACTGAAAGTTATCTGGAAAATCTCCAAATATTTAGAAATTTAATTGACACATTTCTGAATACTCTATGGACGTTAGAAACCCAAAGGGACATTAGAAGGTACTTTGATCTGAATGAAAATGAAAACAGAACTTATGAGAATCTGTGGGATGCTGCTAAAGCACTGCTTAGGGGGGGAATTTATAGCACTAACATATGTTATAAAAGAAAAAAGTTTTCAAATCAATGACCTCAGCTTCCACCTTAAGAAAATAGGGAAGAAAGAGCAAGTTAAACTCAAAATAAACAGAGGAAAGGAAGTAATAAAGAGTAGAGCAGAAATCAGTGAAATTAAAAAACAAAAATTAAAATCACTGAAACCAAAAGTTGGTTCTTCATGAAGATCAATAAAATTGGTAAACCCCTAGCCAGCCTGATGAGGAATAAAAGAGAGAAGACAGAAATTACCAGTATCAGGAATGAGAAAGGTAGCGTCACTATAGAGTCTACAGATATTAAAGGGTTAATAAGGAAATGTTATAAACAAATTTATGCCTTTAAATTCGACAATTTAGATGAAACGTAATTTCCATGAATGACACAAATTACCAAAGCTCACTCAAAGAAGATAGAAAATCAGAATAGCACTGTTTCTATTATAGAAATTGAATTCGTAGTTTAAAACTTGCCCACAAAAAATTCCAGGCCTAGATGACTTCACTGGTGAATTATTCCAAACATTAAAGGAAAAATGATACAAGTTCTCCACAGACTCTTTCATAAAATATAAGAGGAGGAACTCACAACTCATTCTTATGAGGCGAACATTACTGTGATACCAAAACCTGACAAAGACGTTGAAAGAAAAGAAAACCTACAAACAGTAACCTGTATGAAAATACATGTAAAAATTCTACACAAAATTTTAGGAAATCATATCCAACCATATATAAAAATAGTAATTCATCATGACCAAGTGGGGCTAATTCCAGGAATGCAGTATTGGTTTAACAGTCAAAATTCAATTGATGTAATTCACCATATGAACACACTAAAGGAAAAAAACCAATAATGATCTCAATAGATGCAGAAAAAACTTTTGACAAAATCCAATGTTCGTTCCTGATAAAAACTTTGAGCAATCTAGAAATAGAAAGGAATTTTATAAATCTGATAAAGGGCATCTACGAAAAATCATACTTAATGGTGAAAGGCTAAATGTTTTCCCCCTAAGATCAGGAACAAGACAAAGATGTCTACTCTTGCCATTTCTATTCAAAATTGCACTACCAGTGTATTTAAGCAAGAAAAAGAAAGAAAAGAAATCCAGACTGAAAAATTAAAACAAACACTTCACCAAAGAAAATATATGGGTGACAAGTAAGTACATGAGTAGATGCTTAACATCATTATTCATTAGGAAAATGCAAATTAAAACCACAGTGAGATATCCCTAAACATTTACTTAAATGGCTCAGATTAAAAGGACCCACCATACCAAATGGTGGCGATGATGTAGAGGAAATAGAATTTTCGTACACTGCTGGTAGAAAGATAAAGTGGTTTGATTACTTTGGAAAATAATTTTATAGGAAAAATCCAACACACTACTGAGCAAAAATTACACTCAGTAAACTAGATGAGTAATACATCCTTAACTTGAAAAAACTATTTATACCTTAGTACTAAACCCAGCATTTTACTCAATGGTTAAAAATAACCAGTTGGAAAATATGATGGAAGTGAAATTCCTATTTACAATAGCAAAAAAATTACTATTTAGATACGTAAAACTTATATAAAGAGAACTTTAGAAAATACCTAACCTAAAGCATGAGCCATTAAAAAAAATTCCTGCAGTGGACTTTGCCAAAATTAAGAACTTCTATTCTTCAGAAGACACTGTAAGAGAGTGAAAATATAAGCCACAGACTGAGAGAATACTTGCAAATCCCACGTATCTGATGGCAGTACTCCCCAAATTGATCTATAGATTCAACACAATCCCGATTAAAATCCCAGCTGCCTTTTTTGCAGAAACTGGCAAGGTGATCCTAAAATTCATTTTAGAAATTCAAGGGACCCAGAATAGGCAAAACAATCTTGAAGAGAACAAAGTTAGAGGACTCACATTTCCCAATTTAAAAACTTACTACGAAGTTACAGTACTCAAGACATTGTGTTACTGGGATAAGGGTAGTCATATATATCAATGGAATAGAATTTACAGTCCAGAAATAAACCCATACATTTATGGTCAATTGATTTTCAACAAGGGTACCAGACAATTCAGTAGTGTTTTCAACTACTGATGCAGGGACAACTTGAAAAAGTTGAAGAAGGAAGGACGTTACGTGCACACCATAAACAAAAGTTAACTCCCAGTGGATCATAGACTTAAATGTAAGAGCCAAAAGTATAAAGCTCTTAGAAGAAAACGTAGAAGTAAATCTTCATGACCGTAGATTAGGCAGTGGTGTATTAGATATGACAGCAAAAGCACAAGCAACAAAAGGAAAAAAAAATGGGACTTCATTAAAGTCAGAACCTTTTGTGCTTCAAAGGACACCATCAAGAAAGTGATAATACAACCCATACAATGGGAGAAAATATTTGCAAATCATATATCTGATAAGGAACCTATGTCCAGAATACTTAAAGAACTCTTACAACTCAGCAGTAAAAAGACAACCCAATTTTAAAATGGGCAAAGGATTTGAATAGATATTACCCTAAAAAATATAAATGGTCAAAAAGCACATAAAAGATGCTTAGCATCATTAGTCACTAGGGAAATGCAAATCAAAATCACAATGAGATACTTTGATATACTCTTCACTGTTGTTGTTAGCTGCCATGGAGTCGGTCACTGACTCATGGTGACCCCATGCACAGCAGAACGAAATGCTGCCAGGTCCTGCACATCCCCATGATTAATTGTGGATTGGATTCACTAGGATGGCTAAAATAAAAAAAAATTAAAAAAAAAAAAAGACAATAACAAATGTTGGTGAGGATGTGGAGAAATTGGAACCCCATTCATTGCTGGAAATACTGTAAAACGCTGCAGCCACTTTTGAAAACAGTTTGGAAGTTACTAAAAATATTAAACATAGAGTTGCCACATGATCCACCAATCCCACTGCTAGATACATCCCCAAGAGAAACGAAAACATAAATCCACACAAAAACTTGTCCACAAATGTTCAAAGCATCATTATTCATAATAGTGAAAAAATGTTAACAACCCAAATGTCCATCAACTGATGAATGGATAAACAAAAGTGGTGTATCCATACAATGGAATATTATTCAGTAATGAAAAGGAATGAAGTATTGAGACGTACTTAGGTAGACTTTGAAACATGCTAAAAGGAAGAAGTCACTCCCATATTGGGCACATATTATATGTTTCCATTTATATGAAATGTCCAGAATAGGCAAATAAGTAGAGACAGAAAATAGATTAGTGGTTGCCAGGGGCTGGTCTGAGTGGGGAGTTGGGAGTGATTGCTCATGGGTATGGAGTGTCTTTTTGGGGTGATAAAAATGTTCTAAAATTAGTGGTAAAGTTTATACATCTTTATGAATATACTAAAACCCACTGAGTTGTACACTTTAAGAGGATAAGTTTTATGGTATATGCATTAAACGTATACCTACCATATGATCTATCCACTCCACGTCTAGATATTTACCTGAGAGAAAAGAAAGCATATTTCCATAAAAGATTTATATAGGAATGTTCATAACAGCTTTATTTGTAATAGCAAAAAACTGGAAGCAAACCACACATCTGTCAACATGGTATATTACTCAGCAATAAAAAAGAATGAATTATTGATGAACTCAGTAGCATGGATGAACCTCAGAATAATTATGTACTCTATCCAAAAATGAATGCATGATGTAGATTCTACCTAAGACTAGAAAATGCAAACCAATGTACAGTGATAGAAAGTAGATTAGTGGTTGCTGGTCGATGGAGGTCTGAGAGGGATGACAAAGGGACATGAGAGAACTTGGAAGTGATGGCCATGTTCATTATCTTGATTGTGGTGATGGTTTGATAGTGTATACAGTGTCATGTTTGTATACATATGTCAAGACTTACCAAAGTATAAAGTTTATTGTATGTTTATTGTAACTCAAAGGTGTTAAAAACATGATTTATAAATTAATCTCAAAATAAAAAAAAAAAATCAACCCCAGTAGTTAGTCTGTATGGTGGATATATAGACCACTATACTGAAATGCTTGCTAGAGACACTAGGGATGAGGATGGAGAAAAGATAGGTTGAGAAACAATTTAAGTAACTGAACCATTTGAGATACTCTTGTCCGTTTCTTACTGGTATGAATCAAATTTGATGCCTCATCGAAAAGTAATTTTTTTCCTTAATGTTACTTTCCAATGTTTCTTTTGCATTAAATCCTTTGTAAGTATACTACTGGGGGATAATTCAGGGCAGTTGCCCTGGCCCAGCTGTAACCAATTTGAATCCAAAGCATAACTTTTCATGTTCCATATCTTAACATCCTTACTAAAAATGTGATTTACTCTCAGTCTACCTAATCCCCATGGCTCGTTCTCCTCAGTCCTACACACCTCCAAGCAACGAATTCAAGATCAGCATGAAATTGGAAGCACAGGACCCCAGGAACACCACATCCACCTGTATTGCCACAGTAGTTGGACTGACAGGTGCCCGCCTTCGCCTGCGCCTTGATGGAAGTGACAACAAAAATGACTTCTGGCGCCTGGTTGACTCAGCTGAAATCCAGCCTATTGGGAACTGTGAGAAGAATGGGGGTATGCTGCAGCCCCCTCTGGGTAAGTAACTGAACCCAGGCTCTCCCTAGTCAATTAGTTAGCCTCCAAAAATTGTACATACCATTATGGGAAAATTTACTGCCCTCTGCTTGTCTCTTCTTTTTCATATAGTCCAAAAGAAGAGGCCCACCTGGACCTGTCTTAATGAAATGAGCTGTAAAATCTAGACATGTCCATCTCCACATTAGCTTATGATATCCAAGTTCTCTCAAATGCTTCCTTTTTCTAACAAGAAACCACCCCCTTCATCTTCTTTGTCAGTTCCCATTTACCCTTAGAAAATGGAAGGAGATGTAGCCATTTAACCCACCTCAAAAAGGAAAAAACATATAAAGCTTTCATCAAATCCTTCAATATGACAAGGGGTGAGAGAAAAATCTCCCAGCAGAAAGGAAGAGTGTAAAAAGGGTCCCTTATCTCTTTTCCCCAAAATTCTCACTTGATCCTTGGAATTTTCTCACTTTGAGTTTATCGTTTATAAGGAAATGGCCTTATTTTATTTAAACTAATAATCCCATTAGATTTTTTTCCTCAACATCAGATTCATCTTTTTTCTGCTTCAGTGTACCTGAGGAATTCAGCGCATCCCATCAGTTACTGCCAAACACTATTGCAGTGAGTCCCAATGAAGAGTAGAGGAAGATGGATTATTGGGTGTGCGCTGTGTTCCCCTCAGGAAGCTGTGCTAGATTAATTGAGAGGTAGAGGGCGTGTATCATTTGAAAGAGCCCCTTCCCCCAGGTGATTGTTTAACACTTACCCCATTTAAAAGGTTATTTATAATGCAAAATTTCAAAAATATACAAAAGTGGAGAGTACAACAGTAAATATCCACATGTCCTTCCTTCATCCTTGATAATTATCAACACAGTCATTCTTGTTTTATCTATACCTGTACACACTCCCCGTCCCCCTCCTGCCCATTTGCCAAAACACAGTATCATTTTATTGTTAAATATTTTAGTATGTATCTCTCAAAGATGAGGAAAAATTTTAATAAAACAACCAGAATACCATTATCACATATAAATAAATTAATGATAATTCCTTAATATCAATAAATATTAGTGTTAAAATTTTCCTGATTGTCTGTCTGTCTCTCTCTCTCTGTCCCTCGTCTCTCTCTCTTTTACAGTTTTTTTTAAAATCAGAATCCAAATAAGATCCACATATTGCAGTTGGTTGATATGTCCCTTAAATCTCTTTTAATCTATTAGTTCTCCCTCCCTCTCATTTTTTTCTTGCAATTTATTTGCTGAAAAATCCAAGAATTTGTCTTTAAAATTTCTTATAATTATATTTTGCTGATTGTACCTGTAGTATCATTTATCATTTAACATGTTCCTCTGTCCTCTATTTTCTAGAAATTTGTAGCTCAATCTAGCAACCTGATCAGATCGAGGTTTGGTTTTTTCATAAGAATATTTCATAACAGATGGTATTTACCAGAGCTTTGAACCAGTTCTTCCCAGTTCAGTCATGGCCAAGGAAGCGAAACCGGAACAGATTCACATTTTTAAAATTTAGGTGAACTGGAACAGGAAAAATTAAGGGTCAGAGCCTTGCTGGAAACCTAATCTCCCCATTAGAAAGCAAGGGCAACGTTCTCATTGCATAGCAACGAAATCTCCTGCCCGTCAAATTTTGAGCAGTCCGGAAACAGCAGTGCCCCATTCAAAGATGACGGTTGATCGCACCACTTCTAATGTGTGTCGCCCGCCACAGTCCTGCTAATAATCCAGTCTCACACATCGGGCTCCTGAAAAGGCTCACCATGCCGTTTCTGAATCTCCCATACCAGGACTTTGACCCGTAATTTTTCCCGTTCTGGTTATCATTCCAAGGATTCATCCGTATTGCACTCAGTGTCTTTCCTTATGCTTGAATTGCCCCATTTTTGGCCAGTAGACAGGAGGGGGCCTCTTCAAGTTGTCTCCTAACTCTTTTTTTAAACATTAGTACTATTTGATAGCTTTCTTGGATTTTGGGAGTTTCAAAATGTTTCAGGCTCATCTTGTACATTTTATGCCCCAGATGCGGAATCAGCCATTTCTTCTAGGTTCCAGGTTCCTTTTAGTGGGAAGTGGTATTTAAAGACATAATCTAACTACTAGAGTTCTCAATGCTACTGAGTTGGTCACTCTTTCTAGGTCTTTCTGGTATACAGAGGTAGCAACTACTTTTTTTTTTTTATTAAGATGAAAGTATTAGTTCATGTTGATACTTCCCACTAAAATTCAGCACAGTGATGTATTTTCTTACTTCATCTTTAGTGTCTTACATCTGTATCTCCTTCGTACCACACCAAAACCCTATTTCTTCATGGCACCAACAAAATTACTCATTTGCTTTCTCCCATAATAGACACACAACAGTCTCAGAATAATAGTACCAGCACTACTAGAAGTATGATTACTGAGAGTGTTTTGGAGTTATTTGCATGTCTTTTTTCCTTACCCTCAAGGGAAGTATAGTCCAATAGTGTGTTATAAGGTCATTTGGATTAGTTTCTCTCTGAGTGGCTGTGCCACCAACTTGATTCAAAGTTAGGTTCATTTGTTTTATTTTATTTTTGATATTTAGGAATTGCTTTTTTAAACTAATTTGATTTATAAATGTGTAAAATATGTATATCGTTCTTAAAGTCAAATCTGTATTAGGTATACAGGCAGTCCCCGAGTTACCAATGTCCGACTTATGTACAGCCCATAGTTATAAAACCAACCCCCGTAAAGCCTATTAGATTAAAAATTTGAGGTACATACAATGGTTGGTAATAACAAACAGGTGCTACTTTGGGACATACATCAAAACATTGTTATTATTATTACTGTATTTTTATGTTAAAGATGTTTTAGTGTACCTGGAAGTGTTTCTTTAATGTTTTTTATGCATAGAAAGATAAACTATATACTCTACAAAGATAAACGTTTGATAATAAATACGAACCGTACCTAACTGTTCCAACTTATGTACAAATACAATTTAAAGCCAGATTTAGGAATGGAACGCATTCATAATCTGGGGACTGTCTGTATTCAGAGAAACCTCCTCCACCTTATTCCCTGCCTCTGTCATAGATAAGCACTTTCTTTTAATTTTATAGTTTATCCTCCCATTTTTTAAATGTAAGCAAATATATGCATATGTATGTGTGCTTGTATATGTATATATGTGTGCTTGTATATGTATATATGTGTATATATAAATATGTATCTTTCCTGCTTCTTGGGTAAATGATAGCATACTATATATACTTGTCTCAACCTTACTTTTTTCATTTAAGAATATGCCCTGAAGATGACTTCATAGTAGTATGCAGGTATTCCTCATCCCTCTTTACAACTTTATAATACTCCCCTGTCCATGCCCTATTTTTATGAATAGTGATTCATAAATATCTCAGAAATATCTTGAGAGTCTTTTAAAAAATACAAGTTCCCAGGCATAATAGTGACCATCTAAATCAAAATCCCCCCACATGTCTGTCAGTTTGTCATACTGTGGGGGGTTACATGTTGCTGTGATGCTGGAAGCTATGCCACCAGTGTTCAGATACCAGCAGGGTCACCCATGGCAGACAGGTATCAGCTCAGCTTCCAGACTAAGACAGGCTAGGAAAAAGGACTTGGAAGTCTACTTCTGAAGAGAAGTAACCAGTGAAAACCTTATGAATAGTAGCGGGACACTGTCTGATATAGTACCAGAAATGAGCCCCTCAGGTTGGAAGGCACTCAAAAGACAACTGGGGAAGAGCTGCCTCCTCAAAGTAGGGTTGACCTTAATGACGTGGATAGAGTCAAGCTTTCAGGACAGTCATTTGCTGATATGGCACAAATCAAAATGAGAAGAAACAGCTGCAAACATCCATTAATATTTAGAACATGGAATGTACAAAGTATGAATCTAGGAAAATCAGAAATCATCAAAAATGAAATGGAACACATAAAGATTGATATCCTAGGCATTAGTGAGCTGAAATGGACTCATATTGGCCATTTTGGATCGGACATTCATAAGGTCTACTATGTTACGAATGACAAATTGAAGAGGAATGGCTTTGCATTCATTGTCAAAAAGAACATTTCAAGATCTATGCTAAGTACAATGCTGTCAGTGATAGGATAATACCCATACACCTACAAGGAAGACCAGTTAATACCACTATTATTCAAATTTAGACACCAACCACTAAGGGCAAAGATGAAGAAATTGAAGATTTTTACCAACTTCGGCAGCCTGAAATTGACCAAACATACAATTGGGATGCATTGATAAATACTGGTGATTGGAATGCAAAAGCTGGAAACGAAGAAGAATCAGTAGTTGGAAAATATGGCCTTGGTGATAGAAATGATGCTGGAGATCGCATGATAGAATTTTGCAAGACCATCGACTTCTTCATTGCAAGTACCTTTTTTTAGCAATGAAAATGGTGACTGTACCTGTGGACCTCACCAGATGGAATACACAGGAATCAAATGAAGAACATCTGTGAAAAGAGATAATGGAAAAGCTCAATATCATCAGTCAGAACAAGGCCAGCAGCCAACTGTGGAACAGACCATCGATTGCTCATATGCAAGTTCAAGCTGAAGCTGAAGAAAATTAGAACAAGTCCATGAGAGCCAAAGTACAACCTTGAATATATCGCACCTGAATTTAGGGACCATCTCAAGAGTAGGTTTGACATGTTGAACACTAATGACCGAAGACCAGACGAGTTGTGGAATGACATCAAGGACATCATACATGAAGAAAGCAAAAGGTCATTAAAAAGACAAGAAAGAAAGAAAAGACCAAGATGGATGTTAGAAGAGACGCTGAAACTTGCTCTTGAAGATCAGGTAGCTAAAGCAGACAGAAGAAATGATGATGTAAAAGAGCTGAACAGAAGATTTCAAAGGGTGGCTGAAGAAGACAAAGTAAAGTATTATAATGACATGTGCAAAAACCTGGAGTCAGAAAACCAAAAGGGAAGAACGTGCTCAGCATTTTTC